CTTTCCGAAAAAATGGTGCGAACGAACTTTTGGACCAACCTAATAGATGAACAACACAGATAACATTTGCATGACCGCAATTTGTTCTGCCAAAGTCACCTAGTGGGATTTTCTCAGTTTTTGAGACAAAAGAAACACGAACTCTACCTTGAACTTCACTTTCAAAGAAACTCTTCGTAGCTTTCCTCATAGATTCTCATTTTTTTCGTATCCGCTACTTCCTTCTCTCATCATATCCTCATCTCAAGCTATGAACATCTATTTGTTTAAATCTTCGATGAAAGCTAAGGTGATTTCCTGCATGTTAAGAGCCATTTTTACAGTTTTTTGGCTAGAAATTGATGAAAGTCAAGGAGTGGTTAAATCACAATCTTTAGTCCAATGTTTAAGAACGTAATGGTTAAAATTATAGGACACATATTTACGCGGAACTTGGGAAAATTTATCTTTGCTAACATTGTTTGACGCTCTGCAAACCTAATCAATTTTAGTTATTATCAAATAATATATGAAAATGCTTTTTTATTTCCAATAATTCGATAGTCACATCCATAGGTCGACATTGTAGAGATTGATCCGTAGGACATTATTTTGAAAAATATTTTTTGTTGCTCGAAATTTGTTTACGCGGAGATTGTAAGGTAGCGACGAGCATTTGATTGATGATGTTGAGTAAGGCATGGCTTGCATCACGGACAGAATATCTCTATTTTCTCTTGATTGCTGTTATGTTTGTCTCGTCCTAGGCATTTATAAACTTTAATTTCAAGCATCAATAAGTGAGATCACAGTATGTTGCTATGTTATTATGTGTAATGCTCGAAATAGTTATATGAGCCATAGCGGAAATTATTCTCCTAGTGATACGTTTTTCTGCCACAAAAACCTCCTTTAATAAAAATATGGGCGATCTGCGCCTCTATTATTGAAAACCATGTCGTTGTTTGATTTCGTAATGGTTTGCTTGGTAAAAGTTTTGACAGCGCTGTTTCCTTGTTTATCAAAAAACAAGACTTGAACGTAAGTGTTATCTATCTTTGACCCTTTAGCTCCTTTCCCTGTCCATATATATAATTAAATTGACAAATGAAGGGTGTTTAATCGAAGTGGCCTTTTCAGATGAGACCCATACTGCTTCGGAGAGTATTGTACAGTGATTCCAGGCCTGCCTTCAATATCTGCCAAGCGCCTCTGGACGCCGAGTTATGGGCGTTTTCCGGGTCAAAAAATTTAGTGCTAAACGGGGGTAAAAACGCCCAAATTTGTTCAAATTGTCCAGTGTTGAGTATCGGAGCAGTTCATGCAATTGGTACATTTTGTCTAATATGCTGAAAATTAACATTGCTTTATCCGAGCGCTGGAAAGATTGTAACAAATAATTTTGCCTTAATTTTCCATTCATTTTTCGATCTAAAGAAACGGTCATAACTCGGCGTCCAGAAACGCTTGGCAGATAATGAAGGCAGATTTAGAGCCACCGTGCAATGCTCTCCAAAGTGGTACGAGTCTCATTTGAAAACGCTACCTCAACTAGACACGCTTCCCTTGTGAATTTTCTCCGAAATTGGTATTTGAGGTGAAGCACCGAGGCCTTTGCTAAGACTATCATATGATTACAAAAATGTGTATACACCAGCACCAAAGCCTTTGCTAGGACTACCAGTATGATTACGAAAATGTGTGTATAAATTCCCTAACTGTTGTGATATCGTGCTGCTCTCAAATTTTGAGGCCTCTAAAGTTTCAAATAATGGGGGCTCAATGGACACCCTCACTTCCCGTTGTCTTCCTTCCCTGCTCTCCGCGCTGAATTTATAGCTCAATCCGGTTCCAAGCGCAAATCAAACACGATAAATTGAACGCACTAAAAAAGGCAGAACGAAAGATCATGTAACCCTCTGTCTGTCCGGTATATCGATATCTCCACTTATCAACGCCTCAGCGGAACGATCATGTCAAGAATACAGGAGCGCGACCGGTACTGCGACAGCCAGCGCTCGCCTTTCGCTATGCTGCGGTTCGGTTTTTTGAGCACACCTCCCCTAGTGCAAGTCCGCCTGACACTACAATTCCTAACTCCAAGATCTTGCACGTCTACGCCCCTGCGCACTTCCAGGCACATCTGCTCGACGCCTTCAACGCGATATTCGCACGATACAACGCCAATCAAAAAGCGTAACTAGATTACATCAGATTTTTATAGAACAAAAAAAAAATAACATACACAATCACTAAAGAGAAACAACTATCCAACTACTACTAGGAAGAACAAGAAGCGCACGAGACGAAATGCCTCGCGGATGCCCTCAATTCAGTCTCCATCAATGTTGTTCGAGATTCGTCTGCAGGGCCGACCGCAAGTCCCACTCCCATGCTCCTACGAAACAGTGCGACCAATCCCCATTCCTAGGTATCGTACATCTACACGACGAACTACACTTACAAGCTGCGCGTCTCCAAAAACAAGAAGATAAAGAAGACCGCTTGATTATGTTTGATTAATGACCTGAGTTAACCTGGATTGACTGTATTGTACTTACTTCATCATTGCTATCAGGGAACTCGCAAGTTTTTTGTTATGAGAATTCTCTAAGAATGTCGGAAGCTTAAAGCAGAGCTTACAGAGCGTGTTGAATAAAGGAAGCCCCCAGATTTCTTAGGAATTTCACGTGAATTCTACTTGACATCTGTAGGTTCTAGCGCCGAAGGCAAATTCGTTCTCTCTATTTGGTCCACTCACGAATCTCATGAGCCATTTGACTCAGTTTTCGCATTGCTTATAACTTCCAATGCATAAGCGCAGGGCAACAAAGATGGAAAGCTTAGATGACTATTATGACGTTTATGATGGTTATCGTATATTCGCGCAAAGATCTGTATAATATATGATAGACTATTCTTCCATGATAGCCCTTTTCATTTCGGTCAATAATTCATATGAGAATCATGCATAATCTCTAGTTCATAGCTCTCCACGCAAGCTAGATTATATTAGGGATGCAAATGTTCTGTCGTTTCATTTTTGAAAAATCATAACTTCTTGCTCTTTCAACGGATTTGCCCAAACTTAATTTTGCTCGTTAGAGGAACCACTTTTCCTTGTGACAGTGTCTGCTTTCGAATAAGGGTAGCTTCTGAGATGGAAGCAAGAGCATAAAATTACTTCAACTTCGATCGAACTAAATTAGGCTGCTAAAAATTTGAAACTTGCGGTAAAATTCCCGGCAAGCAGTATAGTAACTTCTTTGACCGCCCCTTTCAAACAGGGATGCCTTTTGATACTTTTGCATTGTTGGAGAGGGTGGATCAAAAGACTTATATTGCAGCTTGCCTCGATTTTTATCGCAAGTTTCAGATTTTTCGCAGCTTAACTCAAAATGACTATTGTTGAAGTAATTTTACTCTTCTGCTTCCATCTCAAAAGCTGCTCCGTATTAGAGAGCGGCAAAGACACTATGACAAAGAAAAAAGTTCCTCAATATAGCAAAATTGAGTTTGTGCAAATTCGTTGAGAGCAAGATATTAAGTAACGATAAGATGGAACGACGCAATTTTTGCATCAACCGACTAGTATAAAAATATCGAAGTTCCTCAAATTTTGTGGATAAAAATGATCAGAGAATGCAGAACGGTACCAATGGTTTTTTTCCTCGAAATTTTTCTTGAATGTTTTTTTCGAGGTGATGCATTTAATTTATGTAAAAATAAATTACAGAATTTGTGCTCATAGATCATTTGTCATACCTGCTCAAAAATAAATCAGAAATTCTGTGTACTACATCAGCATGGTTGTACTTGTTAATCGGTTTATTTTTTTATGGATTTTGAATGGTAACGGAAATGCGGGTGATAAAATTGGTCAAAAGTAACTTTTTGCGAATTGGTCGACAGTTTGATCACAATGACAGAATTGTTCCTCTTCCAGAATAGATTTATTAATCAAAAAGTCATGGCACCTTTCTTCACCTTCGCATTAGGTTCAGAATGGCCCAATTTGTCTATAATCTCACTTGATTTGCAGAAGCGATTGAAATAAGCCCAAAATGACTTTACACCTTGTGCTCATGCGATATACAGGGTGTCCCAAAAGTATGTATCGAACGTTTGATCGTTAATAACTCTCTTCCCAAAAAGTCTTTTGCCTTGCTTCAGGTACCGTTTTGTAGAGCTGGCTTCAACTTAGATTTGCAGTATAGAACGAATCACTCATTTCTCTTCATTACTGTAGGATTACGGTAGAAACTTCAAGGAGGGTTTTAAGCAATGAAGGCCATATTTTGCCCCAGAAAGGAAACAAAACAGCCTTAAAACTTTTACACTAGGCTAATTAGAGTTGCTGATTATAACTGTAAAGTTCCCAACTTATTATGATGCTTCATTGAAGAGTTATGCCAGGCAAGAAGTAGCGGCCATTTTTTCAATGTTCCTAAAAAGTGGGATTGCACCGTTTAGAAAGCTTCGTAATCTTGTGAATAGTTAATTATTGAACTCAGCGTCCATAACAACCCTATTACACAAGTTTTCACGATTTTTTGAAAAATTTTGAAACGGCAGCTTTTTTCACATTAACACCATATGTTTCAAGTTTCTACCGTAATCCTACAGTAATGAAGAGAGATGAATGATTCGTTCTATAGTGCAAATCTAAGTTGAAGCCAGCTCTACAAAACGGTACCTAAAGCAAGGCAAAAGACTTCTTGGGAAGAGAGTTATTAACGATCAAACGTTCGATACATACTTTTGGGACACCCTGTATCTCCGATCATTTTAGCTGTTGATGAATGTTATGAAATTATTCTTGATTATTTACTGCTTCGTCCTAAACATCATTAGACCACAGACCGCTGAACAAGACTTCTTTCTCGTTTAAAGAATATGGCTTGAAACGCGTTCTTGTCTTTTGAAACTCCAATTTCTATATAAACCTTTACAAATATTTTTCCTACAAACTATGTATCCTTTTCAGGTTTAGATTCTGACGGGCTGCTGGAACTCTGCTGATGTCGAATAGCTCAGATGAGTTCTATGACGAGTGCTTGTATCAGCCGCAAATATTTCTGGTGGGTTTCACTAGATTTCAGATTTTCCCGGTAAATGTGGGATAACAAAGTTTGCAAGAATGGCAGCTTCGAACTCAAAAAAACAATGAAGCGGATTTTATTCACCTGATCCAAAAAGAAAAATCAGACTATAGTGCTTGCCAAATACGAATTCTCATATCTTATGCATAGAAAATATATTTTTCTAGCCACCATTTGTGCGCTGCAGATATAAATGGTCTGATGAGGGAAGAATGCCCCATCGATGAAAAAAAAATGTGTATACAAAAAAGGTTTTTTTCAGAATGTATAATTTCCATGAAAGCAATGCTTTCACAGTAGAACTTCTCATAAAGACAACTTACAAATTTACTGAATATTCTTAGTACTTTGTTCAAATGAGAAATGGCATTTGCTATTCTCATGTCGCAACTATTTTATTTGTAATATAAGAAGCAAGTGAAATGTTTGTCCACAGTTCAAAAAAAGGCTCTCAATCCACTTCTACGTACTTTGTAAGAAAAAGCTAATATCATGTTACGAGATTCCGAGATTCCGAAAAAAATAGAGAGGAAAACAGCTGAGGAAAAAATGTAAGATAGAAACATGTAATTTTTTAGGAATGGAAGATGTGTTTCGTTGGCTGTTTAGGCTTGGCCACCGCTTTGATTAGTGTCATACACAACTCACTACTTTTCTACACTTTTGTATTTTCAAAGGTTTGTTAGCCTTTTCTCCACCATGGGTGGGTAAAATTCTGAAAACTTGTTTTCAGGTGCTCCGCAAAAGGCATCTCACCTATTTGATGTGGATATCGGGTTGTGATATATTTGTTTCAATCAGTTATATTGCGATTATGTGTGTACAGGTGCAAGTTCTTGGTATTCGGATTTTCAAAAATTGACCATTATAGATTTTTTCAGGTATATATAGACTACTTCGAGTCCTTAACATTGTTTTTTCTCTGGCATCATTATTTGCGTGCAGCTTTTACAATCTCGCACATTACCATAAGTACCGTATCTTTTCTGCTCATGGCGGCTACCATAGAGAGATATCTGCACAGTACAAGTGATAGCAAGTAAGTCTCAATGAAATAACCGTTCAATAAAAGCAAACCCATGCGGAGGAATTGATTAGTGACGAAGAAAAGAGATTAAAATATCGATTAGAAAAAATAACAATACAGCTATAAAGTAATGATTGCAGGCATTCCAATTTCCAAAACCCTTCAAGTTAGGCTTGCTAGTAGTGGAAGGCATTAAACAGTTTCCTTCTTAATCAAAAATATGACCAATTAGTTTTTTCTTGCCTTAAAGGTCTCTTTTCCAAGTAGGGATGTTCTTGCTTGTTTTTCATACATCTACAATAGCGCTCACATTTTTTGAAAAATAGACGCGAATGTATGGACATGTATGGACATATCCGTACATGTCCATACATGTCCATACATTCGCGTCTATTTTTCAAAAAATGTGAGCGGTATTGTAGAACAGTAACAAGTAAAAACTTTCAATTCAACTTTTGAAAGATCGAAAACCAACTCTGTAGTCCTCAAGTTTGTTCTTTGGTAATCATATAGAGTAACAATTTTATACAACAATTTCCTCCTGAAAATGCTTTTATTTTTTGTTACTTCCAGGACTGGAGGTCTATTCTATCTGCTTTCACGGCATCGTGCACCTGTTGTTGTAATCTGTTTCGCTGCCAGCTGTGTTTTCAGAGGAACAATTTTCTTCGAAGTAAAAGTAAGTCACCTAGAAGGAACTTCCCATTCTTTCATAAGGAAAAAAGTGTCTTTTCTAGCTACAACATGTTTCACAATGTGAAGGCTTTTCAAGTATGAGCTTAGCATCATCAAGGTTGTTTGCGAATCCACTCTATGATGAGATTTGGAGATTTTGGATTCGCAAGATTGTCACTGTCATTGTGCCTTTCGTTGGTGAGTGCTAATAGAATGTAACTTGTCTTCAAACTCTTGTTTGATTCGTTGTCCTTTCCATAACCGTGCATACCAAGAAATTGTTCAACAGCGCTCGACACTGCTTTTGACCTCCAAAATCTTCTGTTTTCCGCACGAAAAGCTCAGGATACTACGAAGCTAATTATTTTAACCACAAATTTACATTTTAGCACTAGCTTGGTTCAATCTCGCTATTGTGCTGAACGTTCGCAAAAGTGATCGTGATCAAACCGTCAAGGCCTTGGTGATGTTCACAACTGTGGGCACTAGGTAAGGACTTATATCAATGACTGGAAATTCATTCGGCAGGTATAAAGCGAAAAATCACAAAATAGAAATTTCATGAGAAAAAAGGTGGGCAGGACTATCTATTTTGCACACGTTTGCATTACTTACACAAACCACCTCGAAACTAGAAGTTGGATTTTCTAGTATCCTTCCCGTTAGTTGCAGCCTTTATTATACCTTATTGTTTATTAAGGAAACTTCTTTTTCTAGAAGGAACTTGAGCTAAACATAATTCCATTGCAGAGCTGAAGTAACAAAACTTCGATCACGTCTTCGAACTGTCACTAGAATGCTTGTGATGGTGGTTTGCTGCTATCTTGCTGCCAATATCATCGATGTTGTCATCGCTTTTTGGGAGGTAGTCCAATTTTGAGGCCTTTCCTTGTTAATCACCGAAAATAAGCCAATTTTAGACGATTGACATGGATTCTTTGAATGCTAATGAAGGATTCTACGCTGTGACGACGGATATCTCATCTTTTTTGCCAATCTTGGCTTGTTCAATGCGTCCACCAATTTATGTGATTAATGACAAGCAGATTCGTAGTGAGGTTTGTCTAGCAGCTTATTATAAGAACAGTTGGGCGACTAAAAACTCAAATGAAGAAGTTTCCCCTTATCCTGAGTCAGGAAAAGACAAGAAGTACGGAAATTAGTAATATGCATTCTACATAGCCTTGCCCACCAATTTCCTCTACGCTACATCCTTTTTGCATAGGTTTGTTTAGCAGCTTGTTATAAAAATAGTTAAGCAAACAAAAACCTTAAATGAAGAAGTTTTTCCTTATCCTGAGTCAGGAAAACACGAGATTGATTGAATGCTTTGACTAAAAAACTGAGCCGCTAGTGTCCAGAACCCAATTTGCAAAAAAGATGAAAAGTAATGTACTTCGAAATGGCGGACTGAAAGGGGAGGTACGGGAATTTCGCGAGATTTTTAAATTCACTCATATGGGTTATAAAAATGTGCAAGTGACTCTATTCTTGTAAATGATTAACATGATTTTTAAATTTTTTCAAATATTTAAATTAGTCTCGTAAATTGTTTTTGAGGAACCCCGCCACGCCCCCTTTTTCTAGATTTTTGGAGCTTCAAGGCCTGCAAAAATTTTGAGGAGCATCCAAAAAAAAATTTTTCGGTGTGAGTGGCCAGTGCCAGCACTTCATTCGAAAACCTTTTTTGCCACCCACCTCCCCCCCCCCCTTCCCATCCCGGGAACGGAAATTTTTGGAACCAATCACTGGTATCTCTTCATTCTCAATTTATGTGCACAATTCTTGCAGAAAGAATTCACATATTTCAAATTATCTCAATCGATGTTTTTCGTGTCTTTAGACGAAAATTTCATCTCTCTGATGGAGATTCTGCTGTGAACAATTTAATAACAATGGGGATAGCTGAAAACATTCTCAAAAACTAATCCCAGACCACGACTTTCTTCCTGTTGACTGTGCTGGTTTGAGGTAATAATGAGTATTTGATCTAATCAACTCGCTTTGTTTACTTCCATAGCCTGCAAAATTATCTTGCAGGGAAAAGTTGGTGGCTTGCCAATTTAATGACTGAGTTACTAACTTCACAACAATTTTTCGCAGAATTTGTTCTGTTTTGGTTGATGCAAAAGAGAAATTTTCTTCTCGAGAAAGTCCAAAGAGAAAAGCTCCAGAAACTCGTCCATCTTTTTCACACTTCCTATTACGACATAAAGGGAACATTATTCTCGTTTACATTATAGCAGGATCTGCGCAAGGATTACTGGCTTTGTTCTGAACTCCTTTGTGGTCGATTTACAGCCTGCATATCTTTTCTAGAAGACAAGCGGGGTGGGCAAGGACAACTAAAAGAACATCTATTTTTTGCATTCTAAAGTACCTGTCTAGGAAGGTTTATGTGGTTGTTCACATTTATTTTTTACAACGCTAGAACATCAAACCACTCATCACCTATTTGCATAGAAATTCGATAGTGCTGAGACCTTGAATGCCTAGAGATGAGCAATAATGAACGAGTGAACGATAATTGAGGTTTCACTGGTTATTTGTCATGCCCGCGGGCGAAATGGATCGCAGACACGCACAATCGTTTTTGCGATTTGATAAAAAGGGAAAGTCAGTTTTTGGGGCCAAAAAAACTGGCTGTATAATAGTGTACTTTGAGTATTACTTCAAAAAACTTTGATAAGGAGGGAGGAAAAAAGTCGTAAGAAACCCAGGTAAAGAAGAGTGCATCATTTTCTTCTGCAAAATTAGATGAGACTCGAAAAAAGCAAATCAAGAACTCGAAAATAAGCTGGTACAAACTTACTTACTTAGATACCTAGATGGCCCGTCCTCACGTGACGTGCGGGCCCCAGTACAGAAGTTGCCATTTTTCCCTGTCCCTCGCTTCAGACACCACGATCTTCTTGGCCGTCGTCGGTGGCTGCGTCCACGAGTTCCAGGGGCGAAAGTCGTATCCAGCTGATTTCTCTGCTGGTCCATCCGTTCCACGAACACGTTTGCCCATCTCGTCGGTGGTCTTCCTCGAGGACGTTTTGCTTCGCGAGGAATCCACTCAGATGTGCTTAGTGTCCATCTGTCGTCTGTTCTTCTCATGATGTGACCGACCCATCGGTGTTTCGCTTTCGCAAAGTATTCCGCTGGGTCACGAAGACGGGACATTCTTCTCATACGTACTGCGAAATCCGACTAGATGTTGCTTGTGTTGGGTCATCTTCAAAGACTGCGCTCGAGCGCTCTGTGGGTGGTCCTTAAAGCTTTCGAAGTGGCGACGGTGTCAGCCCAAGTCTCAGCTGCGTAACAGAGATCCGGGAGAGCGGTTGAGTCGAATAGGTGGGCACAAAGCTCTGGGTCCTTCAGTTGGTCGGTGACTTCCTTCAGAGGCCCAAAGGCGGCCCAGGGTCCTCTTCTTCTCCTGTTAAGTTCTTCCCTCAAGTCATTCTCCATGTTCATCGAACGTCCAGATACACGTAAGAAGACGTCTCCATAATAGGGGTGCCTTCCAATTCCATTTCTGCATCTTCGCAAAGGGCGTTTCCCATGAACTGAGTCTTCTTCAGATTTATTCGCAGTCCGATCTTCTTCCCTACTTCGCTCAGTTCCTTCAGCATCGTCTCTGCTTCGGTGATACTGCTCGAGAAGAGAACGATGTTGTCCGCAAAACGAAGGTTGGACAGGAATCTCCCATCAACTCGTATGCCTCTCTCGTCCCAATTCAGTGACTTCATCGCCCACTGCAAGGCCGCGGTGAACAGATTCGGCAAAATAGCGTCGCCTTGTCGAACCCCCTTCCCGATTGATATGGTCAGGGGGCGATGGAATAGCTGCATCATTGTTGTACAGTCCTTGTAGCAGTTGGCTAGTGTCCTCACGTAGGCTGGGTCCACTCCTTTTTCGACTAGCGCTGACAGGATGGCGTTGGTTTTGGCGCTGTCTAAGGCTTTCTCGTAGTCGACGAAGGTTAGGACGAGAGGCAGTCGGTATTCCCGGCAGACTTCTATGACTCTCGAAACCGTCTGGATATGGTCTATGCAACTGAATCCCTTGCGAAATCCAGCTTGTTTTTGGGGTTGGGCTTCATCCAGCGTCCTTGATATAGCGAGGATAATCTTCGTCAAAAGCTTGTACAGCACACTCAGCAGGCATATTGGACATAGTTCCGAAAATCCTCCCGTTCACCCTTCTCGAAGAGAAGGACAATTCTTGACGTTCTCCACTGGTCGGGAATCTTCTCCTCCTGAAGGTAAGATGTCAAGTGCGACGCTAGAATCTCGTGTAGATGGTGTTTTCCGGCTCGCAGAAGTTCGGCGGGAAGATGGTCTGGTCTTGGAGCCGTGGATGTCTTCATGGTCTGTATCGCGATACGCACTTCAGCAGGCAAAATTCTTGATGGTACTTCTCCAACGGGAACAACGGGCATCCGCACGGGTGCTGATGAGCGGAAGAAGTTGGTGTGAAAGTTCTTCGCGATAGATTCCATCTTGTATCGGGAAGAAGTCGGAGTCCCGTCTTCGTTCAGTAGTGCAGCCCGCGGTACGTGATATTCGCAGAGGTCCCTTCGGCACTTCTTGAGACTTCGTCTTCTTTCGGCTGCTCCCAGTATCTTGGCTTGCCTGTACTTCCTGAGATCCTCTTGCAAAGCTGTACTGCAACTGGCGTTGGCTATCAGTCGCTCGAGATGGGTTGCATTCGGATCCTGCCTCAAAAATCTTCTTCTTTTAAGCAATTCCTTGGTGGTCTTCGAAATGCGTTCCAAGTTCTGCTCAGAAGTCACTGAGGCGCATTCTCCGCGCTCGCAATCCTTTCAGAAGCCGGTCGTATTCGTAAGTTGGGTCCTCGATGGGCCAGTCACAACTTGATATGAGCTCTTCTAGCTTGTTACCGTCATAAACGACTTCCTTCCTTCTCGCGGCACATTGTGACAGACTTTCTTTTCCAGCCTGCAACTGAGTCGTATCTTCGCTAGAAGGAGGCGGTGATCGGAGCCACTACAGAAGGATGGAACTACAGAGACATCGAGTAAGCTCCACCTTCGGTTGGTGAGAATGTGGTCGATCTCCGCATGAGTCGTTCCGTTGGGCGATTCCCATGTCCACCGGCGATGTTCTTTCTTCGTGAAGATGGAATTTCCATGGAAAAGTCGTGCGGCGGAGAGAAGCCCAACGAGACGGTTGCCGTTTTCGTTCCGGAGCCCATATCCAAACTTCCCGATCCTAAATTCCTTTTCTAGTGACATCCCGATTTTCGCATTGAAGTCGCCCACAACATACTTGTAGAAGGACTTTTCGTTGCGGACGACCTCCTCCACGTCTTCGTAGAAAGCATCTAGTTCTGAGTCGTCAGCTGCTGATGTTGGCGAGTAGTTGATGATGCTGATGGTCTTCTGACGTGGAGGGCGTAGTCGTAGGATGCGTAGTCGAGGTGATAGGATCTCGTGCGAATCAGATGGACTATAGATGGGTGGACGACAAAGCCGACGCCTCCCACGTTTCGTGATGGAACCTTTTTACCACGAATGGTGAAGGTCCCATCACTCATCTGTCGCACGTCCTTCTTCCTGGACTTCGTTTCCTGCAGAGCGATGATGTGGTAGTTGATGTGCTCTGCAGCGTTGAGAAGAGCGTGGAGGTCGGCGTTCGTGGAGACTGACCTGGCGTTGTAGGTGCAGAGCATGAGCATCTCCATGGCGTGTCGTCCGGGCAGACGTGTCGTTTTTGTCCAATCCAAAAGGCGCCCTGAGTATCCTGACATCGTTCTTGCTACCACCTGTCGCCATAGGCGGGATCCGATGTGCAGGGTTTATTTTTCTTCTTTTTGCTGAACGAGTAATATGTTTCCGCTATAAGAGCAGACTTACTAGCCAGTTCTTAATTTCCACGAGGCGATCGGGCGATCGCTGACCTTGGATGTGGAGCGGGGAAGAACCGCTTAGCGATCAGAAGAAGCCAGACGGCGGGAGATCTGGCGTGACCGGTTCTTAGCTAGGCATCCAGCCGAGACCGGAAACGTCGAACTCCTTCACGCTTGGGAAGCCCTACCAGAGTATACACTCGGCTGTGCATCGCAGTTCGACACCCAGTGTCATCCCCACGCCACGATGAGGCGACCGACCATTGTGGGGGTTAAGTATATGTTCAGGAATGAATACTGGTACAAAGCGCTGCCAAAATGAATGGAGGTGCTACTAAATTACTAATAACTGAATTATACTACTAAATTACTAAATTATCTTGACTGATGATTCCTAAGTTATTTACATCTGGACTCGAAAAATGATTTTCAAAGAAACAGTTGACTACCTGAATTGCACCTTGGCGACATGCATAAGTTCAATGTGCATTTGCTTTTCGAAATTTTTTAGGCTGCCTATTTATTCGATTTCTGAGCAAATGATTTTCCGCACTGCAATTACTGTTTTGATTCTTCCTGAACAGAGGTATAGCACAAATAAATCATAATTGATTCACAACTGAGAAATTTTAAAGACAACAATCCATAAATCATAAATAATGACAACCACTTACGTATTTCAGGTTTTCCGGAAAGTACGAGATCTCCAAAATCGCTTCTGCAGTTGTTGTCCACTTATTGGACGAGCACTACGATTACAAAAGAAATTCCATGAGGTTGAGCACGAAAACGAAAAACTCGTTATTGCATCCCCACAACCGAAAATTTCCACGAATAGTACAGAGGTAAGTGCACTCTTATAGAAGTAAAAAAAGCAAATTACAATCATTGCTATTTCAGCCTTCGTTCAGTCATGGAGGAGGAATAGGTGCACTCATCATGGCCAGATGTAGTTTGGCCACGTCGGAGCAGCGCCGTCAGTTGAAACAGTTTGGAGAAAGTGTGGATGTTTGAAATGTTAATTAAATACGCTCAACAGTTATGTCAAACCAGACTCTTTGTTGTAGAAAAGAGAGGAAGAACCAAAGTCATCTTCAGCTCTGAAATTTTTCTGGAATGGCTTCTTATATATTTCGAGATTAATTGATATGAGAATGTCAATGTCACTACGTGTCTCTGCCATTCAATGACAATTTTGTACTCAGTACTTTACGTGTTGTTAAGGTTTTCCTAATAATTATCCCATTATTTTGCTAAATGTAAGGACAAATTGAGAAAGAATAAAGAACGACTTAAGTTACATCTGTTTCTGTCCACAATCTTTGACCTGTGTCTAATCTACTAGGGAAGCCAGATCCGAACGACAATTTGCTACTTTGATAGCTGATTCTGCGAAGCGAAGACAAATTAGGCTCGAGCCCGTAATATTGAAACGAGGGATTTCTCGAAGAAAATCCCGTGTTCATAAATAAGAAGTAAAACTTATTGCGTTCAAGCAATGCTTGCATTCAAAAGAATATGAAAAATCACTTCAAATACCAAAAAAGTATGTTAAAAATCTTCCTAAAATGAAAAAAATATATCAATTCATTTGAGTCAAATCTTTGTCATGTGTAATAGAATTCTTATTTTATAGTCACTAGACCAATGAATCAAAGCAACTTAAAGTTGCGTAGCTATGTTTCAGCGACAATCAAGATTTTATAATCCTTTACTGGCTAACGTTTCGGCGATTTCGCCTTCGTCAGAGCCTATGAAATTGAGATTTACGTAATCTCTACTCTTAGACGTCAATAAAATGCCAGGTTGATATTCGATTGAGATACGGTAACATGGAAGTTTACGCCAGCTGACAATATTTTACATGATGTACCAGCAACTAAAGTATTTGAATCTTCTGAAAATGTAACGCTCTTAATTTACTTTAACTGCTAACTCTGTACTCTTGAGATAAGCGTAAGTCCATAGAGAAAGGGCGGAGAAAAAATCGATTTGGCAGTGACTACAAACTGCTACGAACTTCAATCCTTCTAGAAAAGAGCCGGGCCTTATCAGCTAAGCGAGTTTCAGGCTTCGTAGACCCTACTCTTCGCACCAAACTTAGTTTCCCCTATGTAGGAAGACACACTATTATGATGCTGCAAACGCCTGACACCTATCACTTCACCGAGACGCTGATTTTAGAGACCGGTATTAGGGTCGCCGCAGTTACGGAGCGCTACAGTATTTGCGCCCGGATCTCTCCTGCTGTTTGCATTGCCAAACCGATGTATAACCTCAGAAGGAGGTACGCTTCTTTTGGGGTCGTTTATCATAAATTCGTTATCGTCGTGCATGGTATTGTTTCTAACAGGCTTCTACAGATAGATGCTTTGTGTTAGCGGTGGAGCGTGCATCGTGCAGTGAGTTTCCTGATATATTAGGCTGGCGGGTGATTTCTGCTACACTTTTATTTTTATTTTTCAAAATTCTAAGAAACTTTCGAAAATCCTTATGTTTAAGGAGTGTTTCTACCCATCAGTAGTGTTGAGTTCGTAACCATGCGCAGAACACCCACTCTGTTGGACTTTTTCGATTCATTATTCACCCTTCGTTTTTGACGTGCTAGCGGCACCAAGGACTGCCATAAAAGAAACTGAAAAGACAATCCGAAAATATGTTTAGAAAATTATGGGAAAGGAAATACACATTGAACGCAGAGAGAAAAACCAAAGAAAAAATGTCATTCTGGGTACGCTTACAAAGCTGTCATAAGCTTGCTAGCTATTTGTGCATTTGCGGCATCAACTATGCTGTTGTGTACACCCTGCCATGCCCACATATGGAGCAGATTTGAAGAGTATTTCTCAGAATCCCAGAAAAAAATGTAACAGATATACGCCAACCCAATAGTTGGAGAACAAGTCGGAAGCGAAGGATGAGGCAGCTTGTCCCGTGTCTTCTCTTTATTTTCTGTATTAGTATTAGTTCAATGTAGTTAATATCTGGTTTCGCAAGTGTTTTACCATCCTATCATGTATATGAACTCTATTCAACGCTTTGATGTGATATTTTTAGTAGGGATTGGGTGTGAAGGGTGTCGATGGCAAGCTGATGCGCCAAAAAGTGCGCGGGGCGCAAATTGCTTAGGGTGAGAAGTCATGGTGTATGTTTGTCAAGGCTAAAAGTGCCCATGAATTTACAAAAACTAAGCTCAAATGCTTTTGAGTTGCGATCTGGTGATCCGAAAAGCTTGAAGTCGCTCTATGTTATTTCACATAGCTGCAAACAAAGGGCTCAGAGAAGTGTTGATCTGAATGGCAACGAAGCTGCGAAACTTTCAATCGACGATTGAAAAATGGGTGATGGTATGGTAGATATTGTATGGTTCGCAAAATGGTGATGCTAAAAACCATTATTCGAGAAGATGGAAAAAATCTTAAGCACTATGGGTTCCCTTCAGAATTACGAAGAGACTCGCAGCTGAAGAAAAAAGAGTTGCCTAGATAAGGCGTTATTTCTTGCGTACGAAGTCGCAGAATTGGAGTGTTGACACACACAACTAACTACTTTTAGTATTTTATCGTAAAAATGTGACATGATATAAAAGCTGTAAAGTCGGCCTACAACGAGAAGCACTCTATTTGATTTCTGAATTTTGAAAAGGTACCAACTTTTTTATGGGGTAGCAAAGAAGCTATAAGGAAGTTGATTTATAGCAAGATCCTGATTGCTCTGGCAATATCCGAGACGACCCTTCAATTTTTTCTGCAAAGAAATAATAATTGTATGCTGTGCGAAATATCTCCCGCGACAAATACGAATCATCATTCACAACGCATTGGTATATGCACTATTTAATGGCAGCAGCTGCGGTCCGGAGCCGGTGGGTTCTCTGAACACATTACGAAGGCCGGCCGCCCCTATGGGCAAAACTCTCTCCCATCGACACTACTTGACCGCAAATTCTTTCCTTTTTCTTCCTGCGACGATGCCCAGCAATAAGCACGCGTTGCTTATGTAACTACTTCCAAAAACAAATAAAGCAGAGCTTTCAACTCGTTAATCATTTTGATAAATTGTACAACACTCATCAAGAGTCATCATATCATTAGCTAACGTACCGCAAAGTAGAATTGAGGGTGACATCAAATTTGCCAAATATACTCTTTGACAACTCGGAAGTCATCACAAGTGAATTTGTTTGCACAGGTAGCATGCACAGTTGCTTTGACTTATCTTGCAAAAAGCTTATGGATTCCAATCAGAACGAAAGTCACACAGTTCAAACCCGAGGCAGCGCCTTACATCAAAAGAAAGTACATACGATATCCTTGCAAATTAGATAAAGATGGTAACATTCGGACGTCCAAGAACGGGCGATAATGAATGTAGTAAATTGTTTAATGAGAGGTAGGATGATGGGCAATCATATCATGCAACATGCTGCTTGGCCCTGCCCTGTCAATACACTATGATAAAGGCTGCCACTTCCTTATTTCATACAATTTTTTGTCCCTGTTCCTCTTCCCTATGCCAGAATTCCTATCGCGATCAGCATGACAACCCTGCGCATGCCAACTCAAGGCCCATGGGTCAAAGTTTGCAACAATTGTATCATATATAATGAAAGTAATGGGTATGTTTACGAACGATTTTCCTGTTCGTAACTGCCACGCCCGCTTACCAATCTGCCAACTCTCAGTAACATAGCTCAGAGTTTGCAAAAAATATAGAGTCGACGAGAGGTATTCGAAGTGTGCAAAGTTTGGTCCGGATCTGCCCAAAAATGGAATTTTCTGTTTGACACATACGAGTATACCGGTGGCGTACCCAGGATTTCATCTCGGGGGGGGGGGGGACAAAAAAATTTTTTCTAATGAAGGTGCGCGGCGTCAGCCCGCACTTCGAATAATTTGTTGGGATGTTTCCTAAAATTTTTCTGGGCCCGACCCCAAAATTCCAGAAAAAGGGGGCGTGGCAGTAGTTACGCCCCCGAAAAAAATTCTTTATAAGGCTAACCTGAATTTTTAAAATTTTTTAAAAATTATTTTAATTATTTACAAGTAAAAACGAGTCCTCTGCACATTTTTATAACACATTTAAGTAACTCTCAAAAATTTCGCAACCCATTCTCGGGGGTGAGGGCTCCCCCTCCCCCTCGGTACGTACGCCACTGGAGTATACATATGTTAAGACATAGTGACAGACAGACTCTCATCTCTACATATATGAGAATGCTCTTACCTAATGATAATCCTAATGGAAATTGCTTTTGAAGATGATGGATTGGAGCACAGTTAACATGAGCTCTGATAAGGCCTTTTTAAATATCTTTTTGAAAGCTTCCGCAATTTTCAAATTTTGTGGCGTTTGTATCGTATCGCTTCAATATGCCTCAACGTGGGATAATCTAGAAGTTGTGAACGGAGAAGATTTAAACAAAGTTTTTATGTGGCGTCTGAAATGTCGGTCTTTCGCAGATGGACTACGCATTCCGCATCGTCAACAGAAGAGATGCGGAGCCGCATATTCCATTTGGCAATTCCTACATTCATCGTAAGTATGATGTGAGCATTTTGAGGTTTCCTTTTTGAAAAGAAAGGATAGAAGTCGAGATCTTTTTTTGATTTCAGCGCCGATCCTTATCAGTCATTTATCGTCGATCAAGCAAACACATCGGAGCACATTGTACACAAAAGCAACGTCTTCAATGTACATTTCCTAGGCCAAGGAGTTTAGTCGAACATGGCTTAACACATGAAAATTAGTGATGTTCAAGAAAAACTACGTGCATTGAGCTTTCGCAACTCTGTAGTGACAGGAGAAAGGAGTAAGACGTCCCTCTGCTCTCAAGATCAAACATTCATTGAAATACAGAAAATAGCGCTGTCTAGAAGCAACCAAACAACTTATTCCAACTGAGTTTACCAGAATGCGAACATCTATGGAATTTTTTGAAAAATCTTACCATAGCACCAACTTGCATAAAGTTTGCTTTTTATCCCTTCAAGATTTATATTTGCTTACAGGAAAGCAATATAGACTCACAGATGTGATGGAAAAGGCACAAAAAGTGTTTGACACATTGACAGCAGGAGCTCAGGCATTCGCGAATTTTGAACCAAACTTTGAAGAAGAAAGAAACCGATGGGACTAATCCTGGATTCAGCCGGTATTTGCGAGTTTACTGGTACGAAGTATACTTTGAATGAAGCTGCCAACGCTACTCTTTGATTCAATAGAGTTTGCGGCTGCAGGGCGTGGTTTCGAGCCTGATTAAAGCTAGGAAATGATCAGAGAGCACGCTCGCGACAGAGACGCATATCAACATATCAACAGCACTATAATTTGTCAAACGCAGTGTGAATTCAGTAAATGCTGAAACTCACTAAACTCTCTCTAGTTGTATAGAACCTCAAATTGTTCACCTCATACTTATGATGAATGTAGGAATTGTCAAACGGAATATGGTACCGCGTCTCTTTCGTTGACGATGCGGAATGCGTAGTCCATCTGTGAAAGATCGACATTTCAGACTCCAGACAAAACATTTGTTTACATCTTCTCCGTTACTTCTAGACTATCCCACGTTGAGGCATATTAAAGCGATATGATACATACGTCACAAAACTTGAAAATTGCGGAAGCTTTTATTATAAATCAAAAAGGCCTTTACTTTCATGCTAGCTGTGCCCCAATCCGTCATCTTCAGAAGCAATTTTCATTGGAATTATCATTAGGTAAGAGCATTCTTACATATGTTCAGACACATTGACAGTCTGTTTGTCAATGTGTCTGAACATATGTATGCTCGTATGTGCCAAACAGAACATTCCATTTTTGGACAGATCCGGACCAAACTTTGCACACATCTCACAACATGCACACATCACTTACCTCTCATCGACTCTATCCATTTTCGCAAACTCTGAGCTATGCTAATGAGATTTGGCAGAGGGGTAAGCGGGGGTGCCAATTACTAACAGGAAAATCGTTTATGGACATACCCATTACTTTTATTGATATAATCAATTTTTTCAAACTTTCACTCATGGGCTTTGAGTTGGCAAGCGCAGGGTTGAAGCCGTGCTGGTCATAGGAATAGGAATTTTGGCATACGGAAGAGAAACAGGGACAAAAACTTGCATAAAATAAGGAAGTGGCAGTCTTTATCATCGATTCCTTGACCAATCCGTCCTATCGTCGATTCGTTGACCGCATGGACTGCTGAAACGCTGCAGACCACGCGTGGCGCGGTTGAATTGTCGCGAGAGCACGACTTGTACAATGGCGAATTTGTACAGGGACAAGCGTTTTACCTCGCAACGCGTGCTCCGCAGTGATGTTCAGTCCATGCAGTCAAGAATCAGTTATAACATCTGAGCTTAGCTCAGCACACTCTTATGCTCAATTTGACAATGCTTGTAAAGAGTAAATTTTGAGAGAAATCGCGCTTATTCCATTGAAAACAGAGAAAAAACAAGTAAAAGCAGTTTTCACTACTGTGAGATTGTGTAAAGAATAGTATCGCTTTTCATAGAATCACAACAAGGCAAATTAGAATTGTGTTAGAGTTGTTTGATGGAGCCAGCAAGCTCTACAAGATAATTACAGGTCAGCCTAAAACGTGATCCACTTTAAGTTCAAAGCCAAAATTTGCAAAATAAATTGTTGCTTAAAAATCGAATCACTTCGCAATCCTCCACCAAATTTCATAAATTTCTTGCTCGTGTAGATGCCTTCTCAAAAGCTCATGTACAGTTGCAGTATTTTTTACTGGCTAGAAGTCGAAAATTGGATAAGCCACAAGTTAAACGTCCCTTTTTTTAGTTCCTTATGGCAAATAAGATATTTTCAGATGAAGACCCTAAGGTTTTTTATGAACCACCCTACACGAGTTTCGGTCGTTTTTTGAAAATTAACAGCTATGAAAGTATACACCAAGTGGTTGTAATAAGTAGGCGGTTTAGATCTTCCTTAGCTTCAAAGTTTCTGGACCAGATTCTTGAAGGCAGTGTTTCACCAAAATTTAGTTGCCGAGATTTTTGCATTTTTCAAGCCTGCCGGACCCTGTCTAGCACTGTATGGGCTTAAAATCGCACGAAGTTCCCAAAAACCCTGTTTTCTGGAGGCCCCGCGGAAGCAACGTGGACGAGTTGTATCTTCCAACTTCAGCCTCAGCCACAGTGGCAGCAACAGAGGGGAGGTGGAGGCCAAGCGGAAGGACATGTTCAAACGCGTAAGGGGGGAATCGAAGAAGTCGTCCGCGCGTACCAACTCGCTTTCCGCGTACCACTTTGAGCGAATTTTTCTCAGCGTGGAGGGGGTCAAATTGAGTGTGACTTGTTGCAATGGCCTATTTAGAGGTTCCTGTAATAGAATAAGTGAAGATCCGCGCGACCTCAACTTTGGTGAGACACTGCCTTCAAAGGCAGTGTCTCACCAAAATTTAGTTGCCGAGATTTTTGCATTTTTCAAGCCTGTCGGACTCTGTCTAGCACTGTATAGGCTTAAAATCGCACGAAGTTCCCAAAAACCTGGTTTTTCTGGAGTCCCCGTGGATGCAACGTGGACGAGTTGTGCCTTCCAACTTCAGCCTCAGCCACAGTGGCAGCAACAGAGGGGAAGTGGATGCCAAGTGGAGGGACTTGTTCAAACGCGTAAGGGGGGAGATCGAAGAAGTCGCCCGCGCGTACCAACTCGCTCTCCGCGTACCACTTTGAGCGAATTTTTCTCAGGGTGGAGGAGGTCAAATTGGTCAAATTGAGTGGGACCTGTTGCAATGGCCTATTTAGAGGTCCCTACAATAGAATATGTGAAGATCCGCGCGACCTCAACTTTGGTGAGACACTGCCTTCAAACACCTTTGGTGTCCTTTATTAGAACTTGCTTGGTTCTATTGGCCAGTGCCTTTCAATAGTTATTGGTTGAGTTGATATTCACGCCAGTAGGAGCATAATACTATGAGTACAATAGACGTAAAAAAGAAGACAGTCACATTCTTCTCATTCAAAAATCCATTGCAAAACATTCTTCTCATTCAAATATCCATTGCAAATCTAGGAAAACATTGAACTGGGGTTTTTGACTGCAAACTAATTAAGGTATGGTTCCCGGATGGCATGGAGCCTGATCAAAAGTGCGAAGTGTGTCTGGGTAAAGGATTAAGATTTTTTTCTGCTTTTCACCACTTTAGTCATTGCAGAAAAACAAGCCATTGTATTTTACAAACGAAGCTGAATCCGATAAGAAATGCAGCAACTACCTACACCCCTCTCCATCAGCGGATGGATAGATCATAGACACTATTTTGGAAAATTTATCAGCGATTATGGACAAAAGCGATGTCCTGTGTAATCATCACCGAATACATTTCTGCACCTATTTGTGTTGTGACCACACGCTTCAACAGCATGTTCCACTCACAGGCATCGCATCTTGTGCCACAACTCGCTCCATATCCGTACGAGTGCTCATTACAGTTTTCTTGTGACAGTCTGCGAGAAACAGATGCCACCGGCCAGAGAGAGTAAGATCGAAAGAAGCAAAAACCTCAAGATTCACCTTTTGGTTTTCTCAAACAAAGGAACTCTGGGTTTCAGACAGGAGCAAGTGGTGATTTTTTTAATTTGATAAGTGAACCAGTAATCTAAAAGTGGTGTTTGGAAGAGCGTTCGCGCTGGGACCGCTGCACGGTTTCGCGCTATTTGCAGATTGAATTGCGCTTACGTTTCTTTATATATTAGATATCTGCCAACTATCTGCTAATGGCAAGTTACCCCACCTTTGCCATTGGACTTCTCAAAACAAAACATAGTAAGCGCCAGAATAGTCAGCAAATTTCATATTTTCTTGTGGTGCACATCTCGAGGACAGGTCTTAGCCTTCAAGAAGGCCAAAATCAACAAGAATTGGTTTGATAAAGATACTCAATCACTTTGTCTTATCAACCTATTACAAGACAAAGAAACCGAGAAAGTGGAATTGATTAACAATTCTCACCCAAATAGCCTCTATTCTGAGAATAACAGATTTGGCAGGCGTCTATGGCAGGCGTCTATCACTGGTAATTGAACTTATTGTTAGCGCAAATGTCCTCCACAAAAGCTGGGCCAAGCGACAAGCTTGACTCAACTCTGAGTACCCTCTGATCGAGACCAAAGCATGATCTTACGATTCAATTACGGTACATCGCGGATTCATGATCTTCTTCTAACAACCTCTCATTCTAATCGGCTATACAGATTTGGAAACGCACAAGAGACCAGTAGGTTATCAGTAGTAGTAGTAGTAATAATAATAATCAAATCCACCACAATCGTCTTGACTATTACATTTTATTGCCTTACTTTTCGGCTATACGCCGTCGTCAGAGGCCTGAAACGTGGATTGTGGTGGATTTGATTTGTCAGTCCCAACGATGTCAGCTCTTGACCTCCAAACACCTCTTCCCACTTGGAAACTCAATTCATCTCGTGTAGAAATAGGAGATGCAGCCATGATTTGCACTCAATCGTGTATCACCGATATCGTAGTGTGCAGTTGCTTTGGATGAGCTCGTTTGACTGTGACGAAAGAAGACTAGGCAGTGTTTATGTCACATAATGCTTGTATACGTACGACAATAAGCTCGCAAAACGGAAGACAGGACATGAGACCAGCGGTACTACCCTTTGATTCAACGGTATTGGCGGCTGGAAATGCACCAGCGACACGGTATGCGTCTCTCTCGCGTGTGTGCTCTCTGGTCATTCCTTAGCCTTAATTAGGCTCGAAACCTCGTCCTGCAGCCGCCAACTCTATTGAATCAAAGAGTAGCGTTGGCAGCTTCATTCAAAATATACTTCGTACCAGTGAACTAGCAAATACCGACTGAATCCATGGATCAGTCCCATCGGTTTCTTTCTTCTCCAAAGTCTGGTTCAAAATTCGTGAAGCTTTCACTGACGTTATCCAGTTTGTAGTGATCGGCCACTTCGACTTCGTGACCCTCCCTTGTTAGATAATTACTTCAAATAATATGGCATCTTCGTTCGTAAAGAAGTGTAGCACATATAGAAGACAAATTTAGAGTCAGCGTTCTATGTTAGATCCAATGGTATGCAGCTTGACCGATTCGGCTGCTTCGGCTTCTAAACACTTCCTTACGTCCATGCG